CACCTTAGGTGTATGTGGCTGGCGCCTTAGCCACTTGAGCCACAGGCGCCAAGCCTTTTTTTTTTCTTTCTTTTTTTCTGAAGAAACTCTTTAGCTCGGCACACATCCACCTCCATCTGGTCAAGCAAAGCTCACAGCAGAGTCAGGGCCCCCAAAGGAGGGGCCCAGTAGAGTGGGAGTAGTTGGGGTCAGGGTTTAGCCCTAAACATGCCCTCATGTTGTTGTGGAACTCAACTGTATGGTGCCTTAGCTGCCTCAAATTTACAAACTGTTGACACTGGGCCCTTGAAGGGGCCGAGTGTGGGAGTGAGTACACGTGTGATGCTGGCAAAGACCCTAAGACTCGTCCTATACCTCTTGCACAGAAAGTGCAATCTATATTAGCCTCTCCAGGGCAGTGGCAGTGCGGATCAGCCCCTGGTGTCTGCATCATTAACAGCGAAAGGACCTTCAGGGTAGTAAGATTAAAGATGACTATATTTTCTTTAGGCTTTCTCTGTATATTTTAACAACGCCACAGTGAACAAATGGTAATCAGAAAAAAACAAAAACAAGTTTTAAAAGCAGACTAAACCAAAGAGCCCATTAGAATCTGGAGGTGATACCCTGGCTCACCCTAGTGTGAGGGCTGTGCCTCTCATCCCATGTCACACTCACCAGGCTGCCCCCAATGCCACCAGCTCACCTTGGCCCGGCGCAGGTCTTTATCACCCCCAAGCTGGGCCTCAATTAGATGGTCACAATGGATGGTGGATGGCACAGCCACCTTGGGCAGCCCACTGCTGATAAACTGCAGCATGGCCATCTGGGCTGTGGCATCTTGCATGGCTACACGGTCTGGCCGCAGTCGCAGGTATGTCTTGCCCCGCTCGACCTCCTGGTTGGCCGGGTCATCCAGGTGCCCATACACAATCTTCTCTGAGAGCGTCAAAGGCCGGTTCAATCTGGGGAGAGAAGAGAGAGATGGCCTGGTACCAGCTACGCCACCTCCTGTCCACCCACAGCCTCTTCCTTCCAGTGTACTCGGCGACCTTGACAGTGGCCAAGGAAAGGGAACCTGTATGCAGGACCACTAGGAGCGGACTACTCAGTCCTGCTCACTGTGGTTCCTCTAGCACCTAGCGTTCATTAGGTACTCCACAATGACTTGATAAATAAATGAACGATAACATCACTTATTCGCTTTTCTAGCATATTAACCGTTATTATGTAATAAACACCTATAACACGTAAACCTCATTGTGTCCCTGTCATTTAATAAAACAACCGAGAGAACAGTCTCAGTAGAGTGATGTCATTGGCTCAAGTTTGCAGAAAGTCTCATCTTGGATCCTCCACTTCTGTGTCCTCAGCCCCAGTAAGCCTGGGGATCAGTACCCACCTGCATCCCCTTCACTCAGTCTGTCCCTCCCACCACTCACAGCCCTACACCTGAGGGGCCAGTGTTTGGCTACCCAACTGTCAGGCTGAAGCTTTTCCCACTAGCAGCTCTTGCTCCCACCCCGTGAGACAAGTGTGGCTGTCAGCTCTCAAGAACTGAAACCGAGTCACTGCCTCCAGCCTCTCACTGGTCCTCCTCTTTCTAGACCACATTTCCCTGGCAGTCCCACTTCTCCCTTCCCCATTAAGACCAGAATGGCAGCCTAAGTCTGGCCCTTGGAAGGGTACAGCCCCTGCCAGGACTCAACTACCTCTACCTTGCCAACCTCCACCCACCTGGTCTGAGCTCTATGCAGGGCCCCTCCCCCAACCCTACTCCCTGATTATCCTCCTGGTGCCCAGTCAACCTGGCCACCACACAACAAAGCATCTGTCCCCTGCCTGCCACAGTAGCTCTTTTAATCTGCTCACTACTAGCGATGCCCCCATTCTCAGAGCATAGACCAAATTTGAGACGTCCTAGGAAGAAGCGAAGTGCCACCCTTGCCCAATAGGCTATGTTCTACCATCTAAGGCCAAGGGAAAAAGCATCAGACTGGCAGGCAGAAGCTCTGGCTTTAACCTTGACCCTATTACTAAACCCACTGCATAACCAGATAAGCAACTGCTCTCAGCAGCTCAGCCAACCCACTTCTGAAGTCTACCATTCGCTCTGGAACAAGGTAGCAGCTCAAACTCAAACAGCTCTTGCTTATCAAGCAGCTTTACTGAAGCATAACTGGCATAAATAAACAGCACACATCTAAAGCACATAATTTGGTAAGCGTGAACACCCTATACCCCTGGGAAACCAGAACCACCATCAAGACACTGAACACAGCTGGGCGCAGTGGCTTATGCCTATAATCCTAGCACTCCAGGAGGCCAAGATAGGTGGATCCCTTGAGCTCAGGAGTTCAAGACCAGCCTGAACAAGGGTGAGACCCTGTGTCTACTAAAAATGGAAAAACTAGCTGGGCATTGTGGCGGGTAACTGTAGTCCCAGGTACTTGGGAGGCTGAGACAAGAGGATTACTTCAGCCCTAGAATTTGAAGCTGCTGTGAGCTCTGACACCAAAGCACTCTACCAGGGGCACAGAGTGAGGCTCTGTCTCAAAAAAGAAAAAAAAAAAAAAGACATTGAACATATTCAGCTTCCTTCCCCCAAAAAGTTTTCTCCTGCCCCTTGGTAATTTTTCCCTCCTACCCACTGATGCTGACCTGTTTTTTGTTTGTTTGTTTGTTTTTTTTTTTGGAGACACAGCCTCAAGCTGTTGCTCTGGGTAGAGTGCCATGGCATCACAACTCACAACAACTTTCAACTCCTGAGCTTAGGCTATTCTCCTGCCTCCGCCTCCCAAGTAGCTGGGACCACAAGCACCCACCCACCACAATGCCTGGCTATTTTTTGGTTGTAGCTGTCATTGTTTGGCGGCTGGGCTAGATTCAAACCCGCCAGTTCAGGTGTATGAGGCTGGCGCCTTAGCCGCTTGAGCCACAGGCACTGAGACTGTTTTTTTTTTTTTTTTTCTGAGGCAGTCTCACTTTGTCACCCTTGGTACAGTGCCATGGTGTCATAGTTCACAGCAATCTCAAACTCCTGGGCTCAAGCAATTCTCTTGCCTCAGCCACCGGAGTAGCTGGGACTACAGGCATCTGCCACAACATCTGGCTACTTTTTAGAGGCAAGGTCTTGCTCTGGCTCAAGTTGGTCTTGAACCTGTGAGCTCAGGCAATCTACCCGCCTCAGCCTCCCAGAGTGCTAGGATTACAGGCCTGAGCCCCTGCGTTTTCTCCCTTCACTAACCTGTTTTTTGTCATTATGGATTAGTGTCATCATTTACTTTCAGCTCTGCCTCTTCCTACGCAGTTTCAGTTTCACTTATATAACTCATTTTCTTTCTTTCTTTTTTTTTTTTTTTTTGAGACAGGAGCCTCAAGCTGTCCCCCTGGGTA